CGAGGGCGGCCCGCTCCGGCCCGGCCCGGCCCGGCCTGACCCGCTCTCTCTGTCTCTCCCTTAGGACGCTGCTGATGAACGCCGGCGCCGTGCTCAACTTCAGGCTGTGAGCGGGCGGGAACGGGGGAGGGAGGGAGGGAGGCGCCGGTTTTGGGGGGCCTTCACCCTACCTGACTGGATCCCCCCCTCCCTGTCCCGCAGGAGGAAGAGAGACACGGAGGGCTTCGGCGAGGAGTCGAGGGAGCCCACGACCGGTAACGGAGGGGACCCGGGAGCCTCGGAGCGGGGTCTGGGCGCTGCCACCCCCGGCCGGCCTCTGCGCGAGTTGTCTAAATGCACACAGGAATGGGCGTTTTCCGAAGGAAACCCTTGGTTAAAGCGTTTTCAAGGCAGCAAAGTACAAGTTTAACCCCGTTTTACGTGGATGTGAATTACTCTGTGGCTGGAACAACTGGTTGTTTGCAATTTGGGTTGCAATTGCAACCTAAAATTTGGCTCCATTACGTTTACGTACAGGCATGACAAACCTAACTGTTGATCCCCAATGGGTGATTTGAGAAGAAATACAAAAATGCACATTTGTTTCTGCATTTTTGAATGTAGGTGCCTGCAGAGGTAACGCTCTGCCTACAGCCTGATTCCCATTTTAGTGTGTGTGCACCTGCATTGCTCCTTTCTACCTCTGCTTGCTGGTTAGAAGTGGCAGGAAGGCTGGAAACTACAGCAGAGGGCTGTCCTTCCCTTTTTCATGGTGCGAACCCTTTATTGGTTATTTTCCCACATGCCCTTAGGAGGGATGCGCTTAACATAGTACAGATCATTTACCCAAAACTTCAACTTTCAGTGTTTTGTTCTCTGACCTTTTTGGTTTTTTTCCTGCGTCAGAGTTGCTTATGTTTTTCAGGCAGTGGTGAAAATGTGACTTGTCAGTGTGTTGGGTATTTTTTACGTCAAAGGCATCTTCTCTTGATTTTTTAGGTGATAATATAAGAGAGTTTTTGCTGAGTCTCAGATATTTTCGAATCTTCATTGCCTTGTGGAATGTCTTCATGATGTTCTGCATGATTGTGTAAGTAACGCTGTGCAGCATCTTGTCGGTTCTTCATAGGAAGTCGTATATGTTGGGATTTTTCTTGCACATAGATTTCTTTTCGGATCCCTTTCTCTCCCACTCTTGTTCCATAATTCCTATTCATTTCACTTGTTTATCTCCATTTTCGAAGAGACGTTGGTTGACCTCGCAGTTCTTTGCTAATGTGGGCACCTGTAGTGCATGAAAACCTCTGCCAGCGCGTGAGTCATTTAGCCGTAGATAGAATGGTCCTCAGATAAAACGTCATTTGGGTCAGCATTTCAGTTTAACTTTTGGGATGTTTTTCATCTTAGCGGGGGGGAAACCCCAGCAAGTAATAGAGTGGAATCCGCCTTGAGAATAGCCCCTGGAAACAGGCTTTAGTTCTGGTAGGCAGGCTGGCGGGCTGCTCTCCTTCCGCTTACGTGGCCGTGTGGTCTGATGGGGGGGGAGCAAAATCCACCTCCAGATGTGCACTGGGATTCTGAGCCGGACTGGCACCGGCACAACTGTTAACAGCTGTACCCAGTTCTCATCTACGTTTCTTTCTGTTGCATCCACCAGGTTATTTGGATCTTGAAAGTCATCCGCAAACACGTCTGTTATCTTGGAAGAGACTTTTGGCTGGAAACGTACCTTTTCTATAAAGTAAAAGATGATAATGCTTTCAAAACACAGCCCTGGGATTGTGGCCTGTTCTTCGGTGCAAGCCCCTAACACGCTCAAGGGACAGGACACGTTCATCACCTTCAGCCGGTCATGTAACGATACGGTGCATGCTGTTCGCTTGCTGCCGGGGGGATTGAGCCTTTAGGCCCCTGGACCAAAATCTTCAAAGTAAAATTATTTCAACTTTACTGAAATAAAGAGAACTCTAAATTGGTTTGCTAGGCTTAGAGTGCAGTGCGGGGTAGAACCGCAGCATGACTGAAGACCACAGTCTTAAAACTCTGCATTGTTGGGTCGCTCCCAGCTCCCAGTGTGTCTGCTGACGTCGCCGTTGTCTGGGTTACTTGGAAGTCGCGCTTCTTGATTCTCATTTTTATAAAGTTGAGTAAAGTATTGGTGTAACTTCTCACTATTGCGTTTAGTTTTGTTGGAGAAATACAGAAGGACGAGTAAGAAAAATTGGATTCTCATCTTCTCACTTTTTCCAACAAAATGCTTTGTAAATTAAAATTTCAAAGATAAAGTTTTTTTTCTAAGCAATATGTAAGGGATTTTGAATAGGAAAAATAGCAAAAATAATTCTAGAAGCCAATCCTAAGGAAGAGTTTTGGAATAATCTTGGGTTTGGTTGAATAAAGTTGTTCTATTTAAGGGTAAAATATGTATTTGATGCTGTGTTCATTCTGTTACAGAGACATCAGTTCAGTATCGGTGTGTTTTGAGAAATGTTAACTAGCCTTGTAATTGTGTCTGGCTTCTTGTGTTATCTTTATTTATGTTCAGTTAGCCTCTTCGACCAGCAGCTTTTCCCCAGCATCACCAAAATAAGAGCGTGTGCAGTGCTGGGTATCTTTTAAATCAAACTGCAAACTATTAGCGGAGCTTCCTCGGCTTCAGTTTCTTTAGCCGTCTGACTGTTGAGGAGAGAGAGGCCTCACTGAAATGACTCTGTGGCTCAGGTTCTAGCGAATACCTGGAATTTTACCTGGATGCAGCCGGGCACAAGTGCTGGGCACTTGCAGCAATTTGCTGGAGTCACCCTCTCTTGCATTACCTGCAGTTTTTACGCTTTCTTTTGGGGAGAGAGTTTGAGGGAAGATGCCTTGCTGTAATGAACGCAGAAAAAGGATTCTTCAAGTGTCATGGCACCCAAACAAAATCCAGCGCTTTATATAGTTTTTGGAAAACATTTTCTGCCTAATATTCATTAAACCAAGGCTTCCTCTGAAATGCAAAGGGCGGGGGTGGAAGCGGCCGTCGCTGCCTGTGTGTAACCCTGGACTCGGCACCGCAGGGCTCGGGGCCAGATTTGGACTCGGGGGTTTAATTCTTACTCGGAAAACGTGGTTGATCCTGTGCAGAACCGACACTCTGCTTTCTGAGCAGCACTTGCAATATGGTGAATACAAGAAATCGAAGATGATCAAGCTCTACTGGTAAAGAAATACAGACAATGTTACTGCTCTAAATAGGTTATGTAGCTTAGGAGCATGGTGTCACCTCAAGATTTCACTTGTTCAAAAGAATAAAAGTGGGCATTTGGCTCCTAAGCCGGTGCTTGAAAGACTGCTAGTTAGTTTTGAGCTGCTCTCAGATGCTGGGCTGATCGCTTACCCGGGGCGGTGCAGGACGCAGGTTTTTTGCTGTACAGCTGCTTTTGTACCAAGTCCATTTTTGTATCACGCGCTTCTGAAAACCTGACTTTTAAATTGTGGTTTCTTCTGAATCGGAGGCAAGAGAAGTGAGAGGGTAAATACGTCTGTGAGGCACTACCTGTGCAGTTGTCGTAGGAGTAGCTCTTTCCAGATTAACAGCTGGAAGTTTGTAATTGCTGCCTCACCCATTACTCTGAAAACAACGAAAACATCAAGTTCTGCCGTTGGCCAAACTTCTCGTCGTCGTGACTTTTTCCAGAACACGCTGGACTTTTCAGAGCTGACAGGGCCGCGTTTCCGTCCCGCCGGCCTCAACCAAGGCGCGTACGATCGCCTCGGGCCCGGGCAGCGAGGGTTCATCCCGCTCTTCGCCCGCTCCGGCCCGCTCTCCCCCACCAGGGTCGGTGCCCTCGGGCGGCCCGCGGAAGCGCTGGGCCCGGGGAGCGCCGCTCCCCCTCAGCCGGCGGCTCCCGGCGGGGAGGCC